ACATGTTTTGTTCACCTAATCTAGCACATAAATTCGTCATCTATAATTCAATCATCTTAATTCATTGTAATTTGATAAAAGATGTGATAGCTCGTCCAGTTTTTAAAGAGTTGCGGGCCTGCAATAGGCACTGCCTTGCACGTATGAAAGTACTTCTTTTAAAAAAAAATTCAAAGCTTGCTTTCAGAAAAAGCGTCTGGCATATTTCGACAACCAAGCCCATCCTCTGATGGCAATCAGGGGCACGCTATTAGCGATTATTGACTACGAAATTTACAAACGTAACCCGTGCCTAAATACTCAGTTAAACACAATCACGCAAGTAAGAGCGCTCGAACGACACCAACACGCGCGGACGCCGACTACGTTGCAGCAGCCATGACTTATGCTAGAGAAACCGCACATAGCTCAACAACAGTCACGTATACTCTCTCGATTCTGTTATAACGCCGAACATTATCGCAGATGAAAGCGAAGCACGAAAACAGCAAACAGAAACGAGGGAAAACAACGCACGGCGATGGCCACAACAACGCGCCTTTGGAAGTCTGCTAGATCTTTCCCTGTTGCTGGTGGCACTTGTCCTAAATAGCTTAAAAGACCGAGGCGCACGTGCTGGGAGCATCGCGGCATATCAGCACCTCCAACTATACCGTCTTTAAGCAAAAAAAAAAGCCATTTCGTACAGTGCGCCTCTGTACATAACTTTTGCTTTTTCTTTCTTTTTTTGCGCTTACACCTACAGAAGCACGTTGCACATTTGAGTATTAATAGAAATGTTACTACGATGTAGCCCAAAGCACATCTTAAAACAATATCAACCACTTTGTGCAGTGTAGAGACAATGTGCGATCAGCAACTAATCCCGCCCTTGTTAAGTGATCACATCCCTCACTGTATGAGTGATGCAGGAACTTACACAACATCGCGCATAGCAGTGTGAACTCGTTAAGTCCCACGTTTAATCGGGCATCTGCAACAGGCCCGCGAACGCATGCTGTTGTAAATGGCTGGCAGCCTACTTCGGCGGAGCTGCTGCAGGCGCCCAGCTAGCGCTGTATGATTACTACCTAGGAAAACAGTACACTCACCGTTAACAGGCCCACGTTGTCCGTGTCCGCCACTCCATGAATATTCCTTAATCCGAGCGTCACTTCGAACACGGTGCCATGCGTGACCACCATTGAATATGCGCCTGTTCGCTAGAACACACACAGCGACCAAGACCCCCGACCAACGCAACGCATTTGAAAGACTGATGAGACAGAGAGGGCAACACTGAGAGAGAGAAGTAGGAGGCACTGGCGGCGGCGTGGCGGCGCCGCAGCTGTCGCCGCAGGTGTTCGGTGACGCAACTCTTCGCTTATCTACGCCGCCGTTGTGGGAGCAACGCTGGCCGGGTTGAGCGGGGGGGGGGGAGCGGCAAACCCGCCAAGACGGCGTCGAAAGGCAAACGCTATGGCGCATACGGCGGACGGCCGTTCAACGCGGAATGACTCCTTGTAAACGGCCACTCTCCTTCCAGCCAGTCGCACAGCGACGCAGGTTCTTTACCAGCCTCGGGTTCTTTGAGTATTTTGACGGAATGCGATTGCAGTGGGCGAAAAATAGTGAAGCAAAACTTGCGCAAAACAAAGTGCACCATGGAATGGCCAGAAACAATAATTATTTCGTCCTCGGTGGCATTAGCGGGAGAGCATCGCTACACCTTTTTTCAGAGAAATTTCTTTTTGCATTGTCTGTGTCAGGCGATTCCGCGTATGGTGCCGCAAACACTGAATGCGTAGTCGAAGCTGGAACAAATTAATCCACAGTAGCGGATGTTTAGAAGGCTTGTCATGCACCACGAAACGTGCCGAGGTTGTTATAACAAACTTTTTGCTGACCACATGATCAGCACATAATTCCATATGGTTGCCCAATGAGCTAGCTAAGCACCTGTAGCAAAGGCAGTGCACGTTCTTGTTAAACGGTGTTAATATAAACGATGGTTGTGCATAAGTGCAGTGACAGCTTTCCGTGGGAATTGGTCATAACCCACGTTTTCGAGCGTAGAAGCGCCTCAACGGAGCTAATCAGTTACCACAGCAAGTTCGTAAGCAATGATGAGGTACGAAAATGTGCAGCTGTTTTCCATGTACTGAATAGTTAGTGTACAGTGCCTTGACCACCGCCATTTCTTAAGCCACTTCCCATATAGACTCCCAGTCTGAACAGGTGTGGGACCTTAAACACTAAGAAGCAGTGCCCCCCCCCCGCACACACACACGAAATTTGAGGGCGCACGGGCTGATGCACACGCATACTTATTCACAGGCGCACACACATACACGTATACACACATACGGCAACACACACACGCGACCGTAAACGCACGCATGCATGGGCGTACACATGTGCACAGGCACGCTTAACACAAGCACGGACTCGCACATACACGCGCACGCACACATGCACGGGTGTACACACAATCGCGCTTACACGCGAACACATGCGCAGGCTCACGCACACACACCCATACTCGGGCGAACATTATGTTCCTGTATATAATCCACAGCAAACATGTAGCTTATAACCAACGCTAAGGTGAGCTTTTGTAACGTGGATTGCAGTTAATTGCCATTATAGATGAAACGCGATTTGCTTCTGCTGGCATTCTGCTGTATTCGGAGAGCACCTTCACACATTCTAAGTCAATTAGGCCGTCATTTAACGCAAGGTCCACATACTCGTGCAGTAGCTACGCTGCTCGGCCGCCAATCCGAAGGTCGCGTGTTCGATGCCGGCCGTGGCAGTCGAACTCTGATGGAGGCGAAAAGGTAGACACTGCGCGATATCAGCGCCCATTAAAGAACACCAAATGGTCAAAATCTCTAGAGCTTTCCACTACGACGACCCTCATAATCATATCGAGGTTTTTGAGACGTAAAATACCAAATATTATAATTATGTGTTCTTCTTATGCTGCATATTCCATCTGATGAATAGTCACCTACACCCTTCTCAGGCACAAAAGCACCCTTAGAGCCTATTTTAGGGTGCTATCGAGGCAAGCACCCAAACAAATGGGCGCTTTTTTTTCAATCGACCATTTATGGGTGTTGAAGGGTGTTGCAAGGGGTGCTTTCTCGTAAAAGCACCCTTTTTACACCCTTTTGGGTGTAAAAATTTTTACTGTGTATGGTTAAAGCAATTGATCTAGTGGGCATAAAACTTTTGAGATGGAAATTCCATGCACCAGGCACGTCAGCAAGGACTTGTATATAGTGCCTTAGTTTACTTTCGATGATGGAGTTTTTTCTTGTAATGCGGTTTTTGACAACGAAACGAAAAGCATCTGTAGTCGCCTTTTCGTTCCAGCGACATATCACTAACTATAACAACAGCGGTTATTGCGACAACAACAGCACAATACGTTCTCTTTTTCTACGTGCACATTTGACGAAAACGCCTACTCACCCGCCGGGACAGAGCTCAGTTGTCGTGGCACTTCGCTCCTCAATTTGCCAGGGTCACGAAACGTACTGCTCTTGCACGACACCAGTACGTGTGGTCGGTGTAAAGAACTTTTATTTGCAGGTTCCGCGAGTACAGTCAAATAAAAAAAAACACCTCGAAAAATTCCGATACATACTAGGAATTGTAAAATCGATGTGGTGCGACGTAGTCAGGGAGGTGTTTTCTATGCCTTATTGTTCAGTTATAATTATTGTTCAGTTTTTATTTACGAAATTGAGTAGTTGTGCGCATCACATGGGCTTATACCAGGGACATCAGCTACACTTTGACGCCTTAAGGGTAGCTTAAGGTCCCAAGTGTTAGCGGCCTTCACATTACAGCCCAGGCGTATCCTTTAACTAAAAGTGTAAACATCGATTCGTTAGCGTAGCGTATCGATCCTGTGGAGATGAGCAACGCTACAGTCATAGCTTGTTCAGCCATACGGATGCATACGCGATGTTTATTTGATCGTTACAACAGCCAATATTGAAATCACAACAGGCGTTAGACAAGCATTACCGCCACAGCTCATGTTGATCACCACCACAACCACTGATGTAGTAGATTTACTTAGTACCTATGCTGCGTGGTTGTTTGCAGAGCGCTGTTGCAGCATATCTGCCTGCATTTGTCTGTGTGGTACGTGCATTAAAATTGCATACTGTAATAACTTGTATTTATTTCTCTCATTCAACCCATGCAAAGACTGGTCTCATAAAGTTGTCAATGTATTTTGTGCTGTTCCACGGTTGGCATAGATCTTAAAGATTAAAATTCACGAATACGGCGGGCCATAGTATGCGGGTTCGTGCTACACGTGATTGCAGGAGATGCTGTAAAGACATATATGACAAGCATGTCGCGTTATTCTTGCCATGACCTATCATTCATGGTCGTCGTGCTCTCATAGTCATCCTATGCCGCTTTCGGTATAAAAAAGGTTAACGAGACGACCACAAGAGCAGCCAGACGTACTACGTCTATCTATCCCACCGGGCAGAGACAGATAGATAGATAGATAGATAGATAGATAGATAGATAGATAGATAGATAGATAGATAGATAGATAGATAGATAGATAGATAGATAGATAGATAGATAGATAGATAGATAGACAGATAGATAGATAGATAGATTAGATAGATAGATAGATAGATAGATAGATAGATAGATAGATAGATAGATAGATAGATAGATAGATAGATAGATAGATAGATAGATAGATAGATAGATAGATAGATAGATAGATAGATAGATAGATGCTTCAGTTATTAGACGTGCTTCAGTTATTAAAGCCCCGGAATCAACGGAGGTATTCCTTCACATCAAGTACACTGAGTACTGTTGGTGAAGTGGGTGTCTATAATGCTGTATTCCCTATACACATCAAGAAATAGAGTGGCAAAGGAATGGCAGGGCTGTCAAACGGAGGAAGTCTCCAATTTTCTGCCCGGTGCTTGGGTACTCACCACTGCAAATTATCTGTTTTGTCTCGGCAGTTCTCAGGGTTGCGGGAACAACTGCCCGACAACGCTCACTTGCTGACACTGGAGGCCATCTCAGCGTCGCAGCTACTGATCAGGCTCGAGCACATCAACATTGACAAGGACGACAAGGATGCCAATGACAAGCTGATCTCTATCACGGTACGAGTGCACTTGCGCAAGTATAATGAGGTGACTATTGACCCCCACATTAAACAGACAGACTCCAGCAGATAGTTTTCGATAAACTGTCTTCCAGTGAGAAATAAACAGATTAGTTGTAGTAAGTATCATGTTAGAATTGAGTAAGCACTAAGTTATTGTGCAGATTGACACGCTTTCTTCCTAGGCGACCTTCACATTTCTATTGGTAAAAAAATTGCTTGTTAGATCAGAAAATAAAGGCCGAATAAATAGTGCATTTCGATCACGAAACAACTGCATTTATTCTATTGCTCTGCCATTTATTCTATACATTTCCTTTGCCAGCTTACCCACCCTGCTGAGTTTGCGAATAGCTCAGTTTTTCAGGGAGCTTCTGCTCACTGCGAAACTGACCTATTCACGATCTCATGAGATTAAGTTTACATTTATACTTGTTGCCTTTTGAAAGTCATAGTCAAAATGGTATTAGGTGTGCGGTGCCTCCATAAATGTAATGCCCTGTTAACGCTCATGCAGGGCAGGGCTTTTGAAGGATAATAGTGAAAACCTCGTTCTCATGAAAAGAAAAAAACAAAACTAAGTGACAATGTAAATGAAGAATTCCATAAAAAGCAGCAAGCGTATTTAAGAGAGAAAGAGAGAGATGTAAAAAACGAAGGAGTGACTGCGTGCAGATATACGATGAAAAATGTGGCGGTTTTTTTTCCTTTCGAGAAGAGCCATATTCAAAAGCCGGAACTGAGCTAACTTTCATGAGAACGTAAAGCATGACTAAGTGTCTTTCTAGTTTAAAACGTTCGTAATCACAATTGGGACACTTTATAAATCTAACTTTTCGAGTCGAAACTGAGCCAAATGCTGCACTTGTTTCAATCAAACTGAGTCAGATCCTTAGCATAAAAGAACGGCACTAGTTGGTAAGTATCCGTTTTAAAAAATAGGGCATGCAAACACGAACACAAGAAGTCCAGATATGGTATTTCTTGGATTTATTGCGTATATCTCAAAGGCTAAGAAACGTGGGAAGTAGGTACGCTGTTAATGTTTTTTTTTTTTTTACGGCTGCCAATAAGCAAGGTAATATTTGTGTCAATGTGCAGAGAAGGAGTGAGGGAGTAATAGACAAGGCGTGGACTGACAGCTCTTTTGTAGCCCCGCCGCGGTGGTCTAGTGGCTAAGGTACTCGACTGCTGACCCGCAGGTCACGGGATCAAATCCCGGCTGTGGCGGCTGCATTTCCGATGGAGGCGGAAATGTTGTAGGCCCGTGTACCCAGATTTGGGGGCACGTTAAAGAACCTCAGGTGGTCGAAAATTCCGGAGCTCTCCACTACGGCGTCTCTCATAATGATACAGTGGTTTTGGGACGTTAAACCCCACAAATCATCATCTCTTTCGTAAAGCACACCAACCAATTCACCGATCACCGTGCAGAGGTGGTTCATAAGGTTCCTTTCAGCTGCAGCAGCTTCTACGTATACAACAGACGGGCCGCGGTGATAAGCAGATATTACTGTAACATAACATATTACTAACGGGAGGCTCACCTGCTTGTCTTTCTTCACACTGCCGGGAGTGCATAAGTGCTTGATTAAATTCGATGAATGCACAGTTCTGAACCAGCATAGGAATGAAGAAACACGTCTAATGATATAGGCATGACATATCAGTAATAGAGATAGCACATGCGTGAGTCAACCGTCGATTAGGTTAAAAAAAGAAGACATTAAATGCCTTAACACTTTTCGCACGTAGACCACCACGAGTGCCGGAGTGATAGGTATACGTCCATTGCATGGGCATGCGCACAGAATTTTTCGTGCATTTTTTATTTTCGGCTATTGTGCGCCCTTTAGGTCTTTAGTCGGCGTTTGGGGTATCTCGACTTCGTTCATGTGTCCGTGTTTGCAAGCCCCGTCTTTTGGAATGAGCCAGATTGTTTAAACCAGCGCTGCGTCCTCGACCATGACCATGCAAAGAACCAACGTGGCCGCATACAATCAAGTTCATTTGAGATGCATGCTGCTTCGTTATTGTGCTTTCATTCCACAGCCCCTTTTTCTAGGGTCATGACGTTCCTTTTTGAAGGACGCGATATTTATGGCGAAGTACGAATGAAGAGAGGAATGTATATAATAATATCATTGGTCTTACGTCTTAAAACCACGATATGATCATGAGAGACGCCGTAGTTGAGGGCCCCGAAAAGTTTTTGACCATGTGTTGTTCTTTGATCTGCGCTTACATCGCACAGCACACAAGAATAGAAAGAGTAAGATACCCTATGTCTGCGTGTCTATATTACTGCTTATTTTCGAGTGTTGCGCTACAGTATCTGTTAAGTCGCCACTGCCTACTGGCCACTGCCCGAAAGGAACGGACGTTCACACGCTATGAGAGCAGACAAAGAATGACGTTTACCATCTGCAGTAGTGTGTTAATATAAGAACGTAGTGAGGGGGGAAGGGAACAGAGCAAAGAACTTCACGCATGCACAGTGGACAGCAAGCCTCTGACATAACAGCCATATCCAGCACTTCCTTCTAAACATGAAAGGGATCAACTGGCTTCCGTGTTCGCGTGGAGCGTTGTAGTACTTCAGCTGGTTCACTTGAGACTTCAGCTTTTGAGAGCTTACGCGCTGGAACTAACTCAGGGGTAGAATAATCTGGGTCTAAAGTTGAAAAACTCGAGCATGTTCTCAGGATTGTATCAGGATGCGGCGCCGATTCTCTTGCTGGGCTGACTGGTAACTCGTCTGTGCACACGTGTTCCGCTGGGACCTGCGATTGCGTTTCCGCAGGCGGATTTGATCGACATACCGTCGACAGGTCGCTTCAAGTGTTTGAACGGTTACCATTCGACTCCCAGATGTGAATATCACCTACCCTGGTAATTATTTGCTTCCGGTACCTTAGTTGTGCACGTGCACGAGGCTATTTACATGGTGCACACGTTTCTGGATTGCACACGGTGCTCCACCACTGTAGTTTGCAAAAACAGGTATCGAGAAGCGATCTGATCTGGAAGCCTATAGATATTTCTGATGGAGACTTCCAACATTTCGGGAGCGTTCTTCCGTAGCTTGATAACATCAGCATCAGTTTGTGCTCCAATTTTCCTCCCTTCATCTTCCGATCGCATCTTTCAGCGTTCGTATGGGTCGTTCAGCAGCCCCATTAGATTGTGGGTGTAAAGGAGCTGTCCTGACGTGCGAGATGATGTTTTACTCGACGAACGTTGCAAAGTCACAGTAAGTAAATTGCACCCCGTTATTGGAAACAATTATTCGGGGCACGCCAAAAATATGTCCCTTAAACAGCTGACTGTAGTCATCGCAGGGGCTTACTTGAGATGAATTTCTTCTATCTGCTTTGTGAGGGAATCAATTACAGCCAGAATCACCATGTCTTCTATTGGTCTGGAAAATTCACATGAATACGTGACCACTTCTCAAGTGTTTGTGGCCAGCTTGCCGGTGGTGTGATCGGTGGCATGGGTAAATTCTCGATGCAGTTCTTGCATGTCACCGACAGCCTCGACTTCTCGGTCCAGGCCTGGCCACCCTTGGTGGTTTTCATGCAGGAGCTGCAGTGAACATTTCCGCGTACCAGCGGGCACAAAACTTCGGTGGCCCAAATAACGAACTCATGTGCCAAGAAGAATTCCGGCCGGTGGTTAAAAAATGTAACCATGTGCAGTTCCATACTTTCGGATATTCTAGGCCAACCCTGCACGCGGTACGTTAATGCTTGATGCATGCGAGTGTCAAGTTGCGGTCTGTCAGGTGTTGTTCACGCGCCGTTACTGTGCCTTCATCAAGGCTTTCCAAACAAAAGACGCCCTCTTGTTGCTCGACAGCGTGGCATGAAAACGGTAGTGGGAGCCTGCTGAGGGCGTCTGAATTAAGCAGTTGCCTTCCAGGAGTGTACTGAAGCTTGTATAGATATCCGCCGAGGTGAAGTGCCCACCTTTGAATGCGGGCTACTGCCATAGCAGCCATTGGGCGGTCGGATTTGAGCAATCTCACAAGGGGTTGGTGGTCTGTAACTAGCGTTAATTCACGGTCGAAGAGGTAGTTCCCGATCTTCGTGACGCCAAGAACTAGTGCCAGCGCCTCACGCTCTAATTGCCAGTAATTTTGTTCAGCTTTTATAAAAGTTCTTCAATGAAATTCGATTGGTCGATCAGCGGTGCCTTCTGTGTGGTACAAGACTGCACCAATGCCGTGTGATAGTGCATCGCATTCCAATTTTAGTTCTTTCAATGAATCAAAATGAGCAAGTACTTCTACACCATTTAGACATTGTTTGGCTTTGAAAAATGCTGTTTCCTGTAGGCGCTTTTACTCCCACCATGCGTTTTTTCCAGCAACTGATACAACTGCGATAACGTTGTTGACATGTGTGGTAAAAATTTGGAATATAGAATGTTAACATGCCGACAAAGGACCGCAACTCGCTCACATTGCTAAGGCTCGGCGCTCCCACGTTCCTATTGGTGGGAGGCAGGCCATGTCTTTCTATTCGATGTTCCACATAAGTTATGGATTGTTGACTGAAAATGCATTTGTCGTATCTCAGTTTTACTCCGTGTTCGCGAACGCGCTGCAAAACTGATTTTAGCCATGCTCCGTTGTCTGCCGAATTTTCAGACAAGTACATCGTTCAAGTACGCTTTCACTCCAGGAAGCCCTGCCAGCATAGTATTCATTTTCCTCTGAAATATGGCCGAGGCTGATGGAATGTCGAATGGCAGCCTCTTGTTACAGAAAAGTCCTAGATGCGTGTTAATTAGGACCAGCTGGCTTGAACCTTCGTCCAATGGCACCTGGTTGTAGGCGTCTTTCAGGCACTTCTCCACCGCCTGACGCAAACATGTCCTGGATCACGGGGAGATGATATTGCTCCGTTTCACAAGCTTGGTTAAACACGGCTTCAAAATCCTCGCACATACCAACTGTACCGTTCTTCTGAACACGGGTACTATGGGAGTCAC